ATTGAATATAGAGGACATAGTAGAAACTTTAGGCTTATCCCTTCACGCAAGAACATAGAGACGAAGACTTTAGGACTCTTATAGGACGTGAGTGGCACGTTGAGAGAGGCGTGAGTATCGTCAGGCCAAAGTTCTTACTGAGCCAGTGGTTGGGCTCACGCTTTATGCGAATTTCCCCCTTTTAGGTTCTCGAAGTAATCAGAGTGCGCAGCGGAGCGGAGTTCGAGGAATCACGAACCTTGATGCTTTGCACCTCTTACCCGAATTTCGTAAAAGATCATGTTTTCACTTTCGCCTGTAAAAAGGTCTTATGAAAAAATGGAGATTTTCATGATTATATTTTACTCTGATTTAGGAATCTAGTCTGTTAAACGGGGTAAATTAAGTTTATTTTCCTTCCGCTGTCTTACAAGTGTTTTCTAAATCCCCGATGATGTTTAGGTAGCACTCTTTATGAAAACCGTAACTTTGATTTGTGGGTTATATTTAAAGTAAAGGGAAATACTTTTATAAATTCTAAATTGGTTTTCTCAAAGTTCAAATTGAATCCGAATTTTTAATAAAGTCCACTAAAATATTTCTTCTTTAAATAAAATTCATGGAGGGTGTTACAAGGTGGTATCAGAGCAGTATTTAATACATTGGATTCCTATTTATGGTTCAAGGCACTCGTGGTTTCTCCTCCAGCTCCCGGCATTAGTAATGTGGTAAGATCTATTTTTACTTCGAAATTTATTATCTAAGATTCGAATTAGAGAAATTAGAATTTTATCTAGGCTTGCCACTATACTCATTGCTATTATCTTGAGTTGATCTTATTAAGATTTATAATTTTCATATGTTTATAATATTTTTTTTCTTTATTGGACTATAAATATATTGCAATTATCGAAAAAGTAAATTAGTTTTATCTAAACGATAAAAACACCAACATATGACATTATTATTATAAATAATAGTTTTCATTACTAGGCCCAAAGTATAAGAAATAAATAAAAATGAAATTAACTGAATCTTGATTATATTTTGAATCAATATATCAAAAAGAAAATGAAATTACATTATATCTTGTAATAAATTATTTTATTAAAAAAATGGTAAGTGAAATTACATTCTATTTTGTAATAAAATATTTTTATTCTTCATTTGGCTAGAAAGTCAAATATGAAATAGCTCTTAATGTTGATTATATTTTTAAATAATATATTAAAAAAATGATAAATAAAATTACATTCTATCTTTTACTAAAGTATTTGTTTTATTTTTTATTTATACTCCTTTTGATATTTGTTTGGATTCGAGGACGAATCTTTTTAAAAAGGGAGAGTATGATATAATTCTGACAAGCTCAAAGATGAAGAATTGGAAGAAGAGAAAGCGAATAGAATCAATGGAGCCGTTCGTGTTGAAATTGACAATAAGCAGTACAAGTGAGTTGTTCGAAAAGTTCTTGGCTGAAGGATTGGAAGAAAATAAAGAGGGAATTCGTTGGACTAGTGCAATTCCATGCATCCGAAATTCTCGCCTATCTACGACAGTTTTTCCATTCTGATCATAAATCTCTCACCGAATGTCCGATCACTTTGAAAATTCTATGGAAAACCAACTTAAAGTTTTATAACTTTTTTGTTTTAACTGGAGAGAGATTCAGAGTGGCAGAGGTCAGAAATCGAGCTTAAAGTCAACACACGTGCACAACCAAGTGTCTACTCGAGTTATGAAGAGTGTTCGTGTCGTCGAATTGATATTTGGGCTTTATATTTTACTTAATTACATTTTTAATTTAGAATTTATTATGTTTTATTATTTTAGAGTTCTTTTATGGTTAGAATTAGCTTAATTACAAGTTTTCGTATTATAGTTTACGTATGAGTCATTTTCCTTGTGAAAAAATGCGTCATTTTAGATCTTATAAATAGGTTGCCAATTTAGCTTATTTTCATGAACAAATTTTAATGTTTAAGAGATCAATTCTAATTCGTTGTTCTACAGCATTTTCGGAATTATACAAGTGGATTCTTTTAATAATTCTTTGCGCCATAATATTGTTTTATGGTTCTTTATAACCACAGGGTAAATATTATATTTCACCTAGATAATAATGGTTTCTAACTCTTCATAACTATGGGGTCATTATTTCTTGCTTCCGCCAATTTGATTCCTTGTTTTTTTGGATGTTTCAATCTTGCTTCGGCGTAAGGTATTGGTTCTCGTAACAAGTTCTACGGGGTACGTATCAGTTGGGTATAATTTTATCATACACATTAAATTTGCCTTTTTTGTGATACATGTTAAATGGATGAGTTTATTGTCAAAAGAGTTATACCACCTAAATGTAGAATAATAAAAAGGGCGAGTTTGAAATAGATATAGAAATCCAATATCCCTACAAATAGGCCCACTATTTAACTTTCATTTCAAATATACCCACAAAAACATAAATTTCCAAATGGCCCTACATATTTATGTTTCAGATAAGCCCAACCCACCCCTTTCCCATTCCACCCGCCTACCAGGCCACTCCGACCCGTTCCGGTTCCATATATATATATATATATATATATATATATATATATATATATATATATATATATATATATATATGAGACTATTTTGGGGTCCCTTATATTAAAAATATATACAGTTAAACCTCTATAAATTAATACAGTTGGGACCAACGAAATTTCATTAATTTAGCGAAATATTAACTTATCGATAAATTAATAATTATTAATTTATACATTAATTAATAACTTATTAATTTATGAAATTATTTTTATTATTATTTTCAATAAATACATTTTTTTTTAAATTACGTGTATATTTTTCATTGTACATTAGTTCAATGCACTATAGAACACGTTTCACGAGCGGAAGCTCTAAAAGCAGCAATGGTATAGAACGATTTTATGTTGAGGTATGAGAAAACTATACCGAATGTTCTAACCATGTTATGAAAAGCGAGGGACGAGATTGATGCTAATGTGAACTTCAATAAGAAACAAGCGACAATTAAATTATATTGTATTAAACTTTCATAGATCTATAAACTATGTACTATACCATGTAATTTAAGAATTATTTTTATGCATTATTAATTTATATATTATATGGGGCTTCTTAAAATTTTCGAATGTGTATTATCTTATAAATTTAGCGAATTATTAATTTAGCACGTTGTCCCCGAGTCGGGACCGGAAAAATTTATTATTTAAGCGAGGTTATTAATTTATCGGGTATTAATTTATCGAGGTTCTACTGTATAACTAAACCACCATGTTGTTTACACCCTAGTGCAAACCCCCTCTATTTGGATAATAATTTGACATACCCCCTCGGCAGATTTGAAGTACCCATAATACTCTTTTAAATTTGTTTTAAACTCTAGCCGACATATATCGGTCTCTATATTCCTCTCTCAACTCTCATATCGAAATCTCGCCCCTCAAGGTCTCTAACCGGCGATGGTGCTTTCCGGAGTCATAACTCTCTCTCCGGTAGTCGAAATTCGATGGTTTAACTACCGTTGGATTCCTGTCGTCGAACTCCTTATTTTGGTGGTGATTTCATTCAATTTGGAGTTCTTGATCTGTTTCTACAATTATTTTTTAGTCGCGACATATTTCGACAACGGTGGGTCTTTTCGGATGAGTAATTTGTGTTTCGGCAGTCGGAATTTGACGGATTACCCACCGTTGGATTCCTCTTATCGAGATCTATATTTTTGGAAAAAAAATTCATTTTTTTATTGTAAATTTTTTTTCTATAATTTTTTTCATTTTTTAGCGCAGAACCTTGGGTGGTTAGTGGCGGCTAGTGTTTTGGTAGAAGGCGCTTGGGGTGAGGAGTCATTGGCGGTTTGGTCTAAAATTCGTAGAATTTAGCAGATATGGCCTCTCTCTATCTCTCGATCATATAGTGTTTGTTGATTTTTGGGTGTTTTGATGTTTTTTCAACTTTATTTTGTTTTACATTAAAATAACTTTTTTTGTTTTGATTTTGCAATTGCAGTTTAATGAAAGTCATTGACCTTCTCCTTGAAGGGGTCAATTTTTTTGGTTGAAATCGCATACACTAAATACTAGTCTCGATAGGGAAAGACCCTTATTCTAATTATTGGCATAAATCATCGACTAAAATTTAATATAACAATTACAGTATTTGAATGATTTATCTCACAATTCTCCTAAATCAATTCATAGCAATTAAAGCAACTAGAAAACAATCTCCCGATGATTTAAATTGAATCTATGGATGGAACCCAATCGAAATTAAAGTAGGCAAAAACAAAACGAAAACACGTCGTCTATAACAACAAATGAGAAAACTAACTTGTAGCAAGGACGTTCGACGTGCCATGATCTAATAATTATTTGATTCCTTCCAATACATAAAATAAACAAAAACAAAATGTAAGAAGCATATTGTCAGACATGATGACATTCACCAATAAATTATTAAATTAGTATTCGATATACTAAATATATCGAGGAAATAAGAAAGAAGAAAAAATGAAGTAAAGAAAATAAAATAAAAATGTGTTATATTAATTGGAGTAGATTGTTTTATCGTACCATCTTGGACATTAAATTAAAGCATACTAGTCCAGGCTTGTGCAAATGCAATATATATTTAGGTCTTACGTATAGATGTATGACTTGTCTTCATTGATAATGTTTATTTATAATTTTTTTTTTTTTTTTTTTTAATTTATTGGTCTCACAAAATTCTGTTGAAAGTTCGCCAAATTGAAACATATTATAATGGAACCTATTCCAATTGGCAAAATTTAGATACAAAATCATTCAACTGAAAACGTGGTTTTCCTCTCCACCAATATTATCAACATGATCACCGCCCCCTACAATATATATACACATACATATATTAATTATATAATAGAATTGATCTAGACAGGCCTCCAGCTGTTTGCAGTTGGTATGTCTCAATAATTATTTCTTTCGAGAATATAATGTCAACTATGACCCACACCCTATATATACCTTTTCTAATAACCAATATTCTTCAAACATTCTATTTTACCTTGTAATTCCTCTAATTACCTAAAGGAAGAATTCTGATCATGGATTCTTCTGTGATTAGGGTTAATGGAGAAATGCTCAAGGTATTTGTAATCATGGCCTACCTATTGGCTGCATCTTCAGCAGGCAATTTCTATCAAGATGTGACTATAACTTGGGGCGGCCCCCGGGGTCAGATTCTAAATGGGGGCCAAACTCTATCATTGTCCCTCGACAACATTTCCGGCTCAGGTTTCGAATCCAACTATCAGTTCTTGTATGGAAGGTTTGATGTTCAGCTCAAGCTTATCCCTGGAGACTCTGCCGGCACCGTCACCACATTTTTCGTAAGATCATATTTTCTTTCTATATGTATATGTATATGCATGCACTTATAATCAATGATCATACTTTCTATATACGTACATTGATGTATGTGATTATGTGCATCTATCAGTTGTCATCACAAGGAACAGCGCATGACGAGATTGATTTCGAGTTCTTGGGGAATTCTTCGGGGCAGCCGTACACTGTGCACACAAATGTATTTGCACAAGGACTAGGCAACCGAGAACAACAATTCAAACTCTGGTTCGATCCCACCATTGATTTCCACACTTACACCATTATTTGGAACTCCCAACGCATCATGTAAGCCGCGCATTGCGCGCACTATCAATTTTTAATTTACGGCAAAACACACACACACACACACACATATATATATATATATATATATATATATATATATATATATATATATATATATATATATATATATATATATATATATATATATATATATATATATATTATAATATTAACTCCTTTTGATGCATGCACGCACGCAGCTACATGGTGGACAACATTCCAATTAGGGTTTTCACAAACTACATAGCAAATGGAGTTTCATACCCGACAAGCCAGCCAATGAAGGTGTACGCCAGTTTGTGGAATGCCGATGATTGGGCAACACAAGGGGGTCGGGTGAAGACAAACTGGGCATTGGCCCCTTTCACCGCCACTTACCGGTATTACAACGCAGACGCGTGTATGATTAATGGAATGACCAATTCATGCAATGACGGAATTAGCCGGCCATGGCAAACACAGGGGTTAGATGCCAATGGAACCAACGCTATACGATGGGTTCAACAAAATTATATGATCTACGATTACTGCACTGATTTTAAAAGGTTTCCTATGGGGCTTCCTACGGAATGCAATCTCCCGAGGTTTTGATGATCAAGCTTCAACTCTCTTTTTTCTCATTCGATTCATATATATATGTTGAATATTATTTCCTTAATTCTTTTTTTCCTTTTTTGCTACCAATGAATGAAATGTGATGTTGCATTTATTTTTAATATATATTTGCTGTTTGTTTCTGACTTTCTTTCTTCACGATTAGTACCCTTGTTTGAATTTATGCGTGCTATTATATCATTATTACTTGTTCAGGTAGTTGAATATTTCTTGTGTAGGGTTAGTTAATTTTCCATTAGACCTACATCTTTAGTCTGCACCAATTACATCTAATAAAGATCAATTACTTCTAATAAAGATTACTAATTTCATATTGATTACTAATTGCATCTAGACATTAGAGGGTTTTTTGCAAAAACCTATGTAATCTCGAATTGCTGAAAAAACAATTGTGTTAAAAAAATTAGCACAAAACTCCCTGTGGAAATTAGTCAAAGCCAAAAAGGACCCTGCATGCTGTATTTGCAATACACTCGCCGTTTACGCGACTGGGAGTTTGATTTTTGACCTAAAAAGACCCAAATACCCCTAACTCAACATTTTCGAAAATTACAAATTTATCCAGGATTTTTCACATGCCCAAAATGAAGTTTGTAGAATTTTCGATTCAATCCCTAACAATTTTAGGAAAGGCCTCTCTCCAAATTGCATAGGACCAAATTGCAATTTTCATAATTCCTTAAAACCTAATCATCTTCCTTCTCCATCTACTTGAGATCTGCTCCTTTGCAAAATATAAAAAAGGACAAAAATTCCAGCTCGCCCCTCTCTTCATAATTCCAGCCCGTTTGCAAAAGAAGGAAAAACAAAATAATTGTTTTTTCCATCGAAACCTGCCGGAAGATGAAGGCACTTCACATTGAAGAATTGGCAGATGGGAATTGGAAGAATTGCCCGTTCCTTCTCTGTCTCCTCTAATGGTGGATTTGAAATTAAAAACATTTTGAAGTAGTTGTTTGAGGTGGGGCGGCAGGTGTGTTGGCAGTGGTGGTGCGGCGGTGGAGGGCTAGGTGGAAGAATTGGGTTGGGGGAGGAAGATGATGCGATGAGATGACGGCCCTGTGGGTGATAAATTTTTTGTTCATTTTTCTTTTTTTTCGGTTTTTTTAATTATATTATTTTATGCATTTTATTTATTTAAAATTGAAATATTATTAAAAATTTTGCAGGGATAGTTTAGTAATTTCTAAGTGATCAGCGGCCAATCTATATCTATATCCAATGGCGGTACCATGAAGGGGCAGGGGGGGCAGTTGACCCCCCAAGAAATTTTTTTTTTTTTTTTTTAGCTATTTTGACCTAATATTTTTTGAATATTACTTTTGGCCCCTCCAAAGATTTTGTAAATATGTTTCTTAACCCTTAATTTTTTGTTTATTCTCCATAATTTCATATAAATTATAGATATATATCATATTATAGATATGTGTCGTAATTTTTTTCGTAGTATAAACCTATTTTTTCAATGTCTTGTGAACCTAAATTTTTTTTCGGGGCGTTGCCCCGAACCCCGAAATTTTACTTAGCCCCCCCTACTTTCTAATCCTGGTTCCGCCCCTGTCTATATCTATACTACTTATAAAAGGATGAATGTAGTTAGTGGTTTCTTCCCTTTTTTGTTTGGACAAAAATATCCTTTTAATAGGTAAGATTAAAGGGACAACAAAGTAATATTAATTATCCTTAATTTTATCATTTTTATTCATTGAACATCAACGTGTGTGTCACATTGTAATGTTGATTAATGAGTAATATTTAATAATTAATATTCAATAATAGCTGAGTTGGAAGACCAACAATCCAAAACCGCTGCTATTCTTCTTGCTTCAGTCCATAAATATGAAAATGTTTATTTGAGGAGTTTGTTAACATCCCCAAAACCTCGCTCTAGGATTAGAGAGAACAAGGTCTAAAGGCTTATGTTTTCGAATGATTTACCTTGCAACTATATAATCGCATTTATCTAATTGAATTCTCTTGGATATATTGATAGGAATTTATTTCTTGTTGTGATGCAATTTTTTTAATAAGCATGGATATATGTAACTTCTAATTGTATGGAGTTTTGCAGGAACTCAAATATTTAGAACTACGTACTGTGAAATTGTATATTTGATCGATGTCCAAGATGTGTTTGTCAAAGTAGAAGATCAAGAATACTAATGCAAAGGTAAATATAAATTTATTTACTAATATCAAAGTGTCTTTTAAGCAAATATACTTGACTATGATATCACTGTCTTTCTGAAAAAGTTCTTCACAAAATCATCTTATTATTTATTAAATGTTCTTACATTGATTTGATTCAGAAAGTCTATATTTTTTAGCTAAATTATATATATATATATATATATATATATATATATATATATATATATATATATATATATATATATATATATATATATATATATATATATATATATATATATATATATATATATATATATATATATATATATATATATATATATATATATATATATATATATATATATATATATATATATATATATATATATATATATATATATATATATATATATATATATATATATATATATATATATATATATATATATATATATATATATATATATATATATATATATATATATATATATTAAGTTTAATGAATTCTTATATATTTTATATTTTAAAATTTATGGCATTTTTTTATTTAATTAAAAATGAGATTGCATATTTTCTACAATGCCATAAGTTAGTACCAGTGAGTGTTTTTATCTGTAGTTTGAATAAAATCAAACTATTAATACTATATTTGTTCTATGCTATTTTTGTTGAACTTCAACGAGTTATATAATATTATTCATTTATAGATCCATACACGTTTTCCACACATTTATATATACATGTATAGGTCCACACATGTTTAACACCCACACTTAGGGGTGGAAATTGGAACGGAATTTCCGAATTCCGTCAATTCCGATCCGAAATCTGAATTTGGAACCCATTTTTTCATTCCGATTTTCGATATTTCGATTTCCGATTTTTCCGATTGTTTTTTGAACGGAATTGGAATTACTTATAAAATTATTGAAAATTCCGATTTTCGATCCGATTTTATTTCCGAAATATATAATGTATGATATATTATATAAAAAAATATAAATATTATGATATATATATATATATATATATATATATATATATATATATATATATATATATATATATATATATTTATATATATATATATGTTTTGTTCTTAAGTCGTGATTTAATGCATTTCAATTGATGATGAATATTTTCAAGAATCATGATACTGTTAAAAATAGTATGACCCAGGAATATGATGTTCCTGAAAATCTTGATTTATTAAATAGATGGACTATCCCAATTATTAAACCTAATATGGTTTATAAACTTGGTACTTTCGAAAAATTAGGTTTCAAACAAATTGTTAAAACCACTGAATCTTCTATACCTCTTCATGATTCTGAAATGGTTATTAAATTACCTAGTAAAAATGAGATTTTACCTTTTAAAAGAACTCATAAATTCTTACATATTGGTTGTGTTCAAGTTGCCTTTAGGCCACTTACTTTGAACGGATTACCAGAAAGTTTCCTCACTACTCTTAGAGATGGTAGAAATCTTAACTGGAAACAATCCCTTATGGGAATTATTGAGTCTAGCTTAGCTGTAGGACCGGTCTATTTTGATGCCTATCCTAATTTATCCCTATCCTTATCAGATAGTAATATTCTTGAATCATTAACATTAAATGTTAAAACTCATGGTTATAATTACATACCTGGTACTGAAATTATGTGTATTTGCTATCGTATATATTATAAACCTTTATTTACACTTAATCCTATGTGTAAAAGAATTGAGAAAGATAATAATGAAACTATCTTAATTGAAACAAATTTTAGTAAATCGAACGTTACTACAAGGAGATCTATTAAATGGGAAGAAATTATTTTTCCTGAAAATTGGATTTTAGAACAATCTACTCCAAAGATTCCTGTTATTAATAGCAACTTTCAACACATCACTCAAACTAATGATGGAATCATTAATATTGGTTTTAATAATTTACGAAGACATTCGACTTCTTATTCCGGATCTAAATCCAGCCACTCCTTCATCTCTCCTTTAGAATATGAGGTAGATCTACCTTGTACCTCTAGACCTTCTACTTCTGCTTATAGAGAAGATACATTTAAAAATAACAATTATGAAAGAATCATTATTAATGAAAATAACATCATTCATAAAGATGAGATTGATCCCGAAACAATTTCGGATTGTAATTTTAAGATTTAAATGGATTTTAAAACCTTTCTTGATTTCTCTAAGGGTTCTTCGGTAAGAGCTCAGATTAATGATGAATTTTATAATCCCAAATGGGATGATTTTAGAATTTGGTATTTTAAATCCTTTTCAAAAACCGATTTAAATTACTTTGTTAACAGTTTTTATAAATTCTGCACTCATCATAATGAAGTTACCTATTATGTTCCTTGGTTCATAAAAACCTTTTACATTAATCATGTTTTGGTTATTGAAAGAGATTTTAAAATCATCTCTGGTGAAATACAGAAATCTGTCCACCCTCCTCATGTTCCTTTTCAAATTGAAAAAAATAGTAGAGTTTTTAATTTTCTTCCATTCTCTAAAATTATTGAAAATGATGTTCTACAAGTTACGGTTAAACATATCAATTTAATGATTGAGCAAAATAATTTTTGCTATCTTTATCTTTCGATTATAGGTGAGGAAATTATATCTTTACATGATAAAATTGACAAAATTTTATCCCAAACTAAGACTCAGACTAAGTCTGATTTACTTGATAAAAGTACCATTGTTAAGACTGCCTCTTCTATACAGTCTCCTATTGAATTAGACAATTTCAAAATTGAACCTTCTGTTTCTGATTTTGAAAAAATCATTTCTAGTAAATTCAGTAAATTAAATATTTCTACTTTAAGTAGTGATTTTGAAGAAAGTCCTGAAACCAGCTCTACAAAATATGACAATACAGATAGTATTAACAAAATGAGATGGGCTGATAAGCCCAATCTTTCTAAATTCTATTATAATAGACCAACTTCTATGGATGTTCTTCATGAAGAACAAGAAAACTTCT